GTTCTTCCCCAGGTAGGAACAACGATTGTTAAGCCACAAAAATGTACTATTAACCGGTACTCAACCGAAGGGCACCGAAAAGAAAAAGATCAAATCAACAGTGTTCAATAACATATTTACACAACATGTGGTGAAGTACTGCAGCAGAATTAGTATTATTGATGAAGGAGAGGCTGTGTCACTAAATCCAACAGGACAAAGCCAGCTGAAGCAGCTACTAGTTAAACTATTGATCATGAGAATTAGACACACACAAAAAAGACCCTGTCCTTTAATAGACTCTGTGAACACAGATCTCTCTGCATCCTTTGACATCAGTTGAGCTCTGCCACACAAAGCTAATGACATGATTAGAATCAAACAACAGGATAACAAAATAAAAGGTAACTCTAAATCTACTTAGAAGTAAAAAAAAAAAAAAAGAGCATCTGAATACCTTAATGCTAGGTACAGATTTAATGCTAGGTACAGATGACATACATCAAAGAAGGCTAAAGCAAAAAGTCAAACCAATTTCTACACAAACAGTAAAAGGGGAAAAGAAATTTAAAATAAAGTTGGGAAGAAAAAGCAGCAGAGAATTATATAAAGAAGTACACATTTTAAAAAGATTAATATAAAAGCTGCTAAAGGTTAGAGAAAGAAATTGGAACATGCACAAAAGATGACAAAAATAAGATGCCAGTAAAAGAAAAAGATCTCTGGGAGAACGACAACACATGCAGTCAAATATAGCAGCCACATCAAAAGAAGTTTTGTACCAATTAAAGCCTCAAAGAAAGAGAAAAATCGAAAGTTGGATAGGTTACCCTAACATCTTAGAAAGCATCCAAAGAAATTACAGACCCCAGGATTGATCTTTAACAGAACAATACCAAAAGGACTAAACTAAGGAAAAGAGCAAACAGTTTTTCTTCCCCCTCCTCTTCTCTTTGGGGATGTGTACAGAAGAACATTAACAGAAGGGGGGGGGGGGGGGGAATCCATAGAAAGATTCAGTAAGAGTGAGATGAAAGCAAAATCCTAGATTTAAGTGCTGAGGTTGCTAGACACCTGGAGATAGAGAAGCAATGTAAAGCAGTGCTGTTTTGTAAAGTGCAATTCTTTTGACAGCTGGTGACATTTGAGGAAATAACCCAAGGGCTGTGGGCTTCAAATCAAACACTTGCTTTGGTTTTCGATGCACTACTTTACCCAATGCTGAAGCATCATTCCACATATTTATTAGGCTTATTAAGCACTAAAATACCCTCCCTTCGATTAAAAAGAAGGACAGGGGACAGATTGTAATACTAGGTTAGTAAGGTTAGGGTGTCATGTTGTATTATAGTGAGGAGGTCAAGGATGAAAACAATCACCATCATTGGAAACAACACTTGTCACTTCAGACAGATCAACAATGCCAAGAAGTTGCCATGCTACCCAGTAAAGGATGGAGTCAGCACAAATTTAAAACCCTGATGTATGCAGTGTCCTAATCTTTGCATAAGGAAAACGGGAGGATTTGGGCTTTAGGTGTGAGTTAACAGTAATTCAGACTCCAGAGGAACCCAGACAGTCGCCCTGCGAAAGGGCTTCTTCCAAATGCATGAAAGAAAGAGAGCGAGCTACCAGTACTACCATCACCAGTCCAAGACATGTCCAATCTGATGACAGCGTATATGAAGGATTATACAAGATGTCCACAGCTGATAATGGCATCCAGCCATACAGACTCTGCACCAAATCCAGTACTGACAACATTTATAGATAGGATAGTTCAACATATTCAGTCTAAAGATGCACACTGTGATGGAAAACCGTAACTTTGGGTGAACTACATAGAGACAAATGTCAGAGGGGATAAAAGCTACAAGCAGAAATAAGGAAGAATACTGGGATGTACATGTCAGCTGCACACACGGCACTGTGCCGACTGCAATAATTGAATTTTGAGCTGCCAAATACTTTTTATCAAAAACTTGCCTTCGCACGGTATTCTCTCTTCCTTAGTATTTTCTGGCTGGATAAGATTTTCCATTCTCTATTATTTTCAAGGTAGCATTTAGATGTTGCTGGTCTAATTTAAAACAAGGTTCAAACTAACTGGCAAGGGTGAACAAGTTTCAGGAACATCTTCCCTGCAAAACAGTACGCATCGCTTCTTTGTCAGGCCTGATGAAAGCACTGTATTCAGTAAAAGCTAGGTAACTTTTTCCAGCAGTATCTGTTGATCTAGTAGAAGACACCAGCATGCCCTATGAATCTGGCTTCCTGTATTTTACAAGGCTTATGCAAAATCCTTTCAATTATTTTGGATTTAAACATTAACAGATTTTCCCATCAGCCTGCGAGAACAATTCAAAACCATGTGAAATCTGATATTTAGAACTTAGTATGAAAAAGCATAACTACATATAATAGAGTTGGAAACCCCATTCTACTAGCAAGTGCACTTGCATCTGGCAGGCATATATGAATAGGTAATAGGTAGCTGTTTACATCAATTTTCAAAATCAACTGCCTACAAGATTTGGAGCAAAAGGTGTTAGGGACTGAAAAGGAAAAGGTTTTTAATTCTCTAAGCCTGCTGCAGGGCAGGAACTGAAAGGCAGCAAGTATCTCAGCACTGCAAGCCCGGGGGGAGGCAAGGGGAAGCAGGTTTTAAACATAAATACAAACATGAAGTTCTAAGTCCCTTAATGAAGAATGTCCTGAAAGTTACTGGATTATGGCATGGAAAAAGTTGTGACTGTAGTGAGGAGGACATACAAAGACAGTTTCATTTCTCAAAGGGTGCCGAGACATTCTACTTTTACAAACGAACAATGTCTCTGTGTGCAAGAGGGGGCACATCAATAGCGAAACGAAAAAGCCAGTGAACGTATAGGGAGTCCATTACAAGAAACACCGCTGCTCTCTAGAGTTTAAAATCTGCTTTCCAGCGACTCAGCCTAGCAAACTTCCAAAAAGCCCTTTTCCATTCGTACGCTGGCAGTGATTTCAGGAATCGTTAAACAAGAAGTGAATAAAAATATGGATAGCTTCAGTAAAACAGTGTAAAATAAAACAGTACAACCAAGAAATCTTTTGCAGATTTTCAGTTTTTCGGGGCCAAGAAAGTTTTATCAACTGCCTTTAACCCAAAAGTGAAATATAAGCTATGTTTGTGTACTCAAATATCAGCATATAAAGTGCAAAATACAGAAGCTGTATGAATTAAACTAACAAGAGCTCAGTACCAGAAAAGTAGAATTACAGCTTCTGTGTTTAAGTCCTTTATATTCAGCTATTTAACAAATGCAGCTTTCCCTTGTTTATATGAACTGTTCAGTCAACACCTCCTACAATTCTGTAATTTCTGTGCAAGAATCAGTGCATTTCCAACATAAAGCTTTACAAACTTCTCATATGCTACCTCATGTTCACTTTCACAATTGACCAAAATTCACAAATTCTCCATGTAGCAATGAACTCCCCAATCCAGACGTGAGTAAAGAGAGGATTAATAAAGTTCTATGTACGCGTAGATGCTTCAAAACAACAAAGTAACACAGAAATAATGTAAAATTGGACCCAAAACATCTCTGAGGAATATGCAAATGGTAATTCCCAGTTCAGTATCTGGACAGACATTAAACAGTCCATTCTGTCACACCATCTGCTAGGCAGTTACCAACCCTGCTCTGTTTTCTATGCTATTTGTGCTTTATTTTTATTTTTAAGCATGGAGCCATTCAACTTATTTGGAACTCAGAAAAAAGACATGGTGGTGAACTTTAATTTTTTCTTTTAAGGAATCAAAAAGTGAACCAAAAAATCAACTATAAAAATCAAGTTTCAGATCAGTGACAAGGAGAATTAAAAAATTACTTATAAATGCTTGCTTGAATGGCATTCCAAACAAGTTTATGTTCAGCATATACAGCAAGTCATGAAAGCTTAAGCTTTGTTTTCAAAGTTTTTATTTAACAGAACAGTTAAAACATTTGGCAAAAAAATGTTAGCCTACGTTATGGAAAAGAAATTGTGGGAATTATTGCTCTGTGTGTGTACACACGCACATGTGTGCTTCTATGCGCGTATGGAATCATAAAGTAGCCCATTAAAATATCACCTCAGACTATCAGCTTAATTACGAGCCAAATGCCAACATAAAATCTTACCAGTAGAACTGGACAGCAGGTAAGCAAAGATACATGCAGAGAACACAAAAGTCTCAGTCTACATCATGCAAAAACCACAGTACAGTAATCACCAAGTTGCCCTCTCGGATCTGTACTAAATCTACAAAACTCAAGAGAGCACTGTGTGAATTTAACTGCTCCAGAAGTAGTCTGAAGTCATATAAAGAGCGCAATGCAGGCCAGCTTATGTGAACCAGTTGCAAAAATCCCTGTGCTTGGGACTCCAGAGCACGCTTAGGTCAGATGCATCTGTTTGGCTCGATGAAGACCTACTGGAAGAAATTCAACTGCAGAAATCCCATTGAAAGTTGTTTTTCAAGTTTACAAGCCATTTCTAACCAAAACGTGAATCTGAAGGCCAATGCAAAAATCTGTATCCACTATGCACCACATTCACTGAGATACCCAATGTAATATAAAAGGCAATTATTCACAGGTCTTGATACAACACAAACACCAAGGGGATGAGGGATCCACTTGTGCTTGCCCCAGGTTTTCTTCATTTGCAACTCAATAAAAACATTCAGTATTTTAAAGATTTGTAAGAGAGAAGCTGTTCAGCACTGAGGTCACTATGAGGTGAAGAAAAGAAAGAGTTGTGCTCATTTTTATTAATAATTCTTTAAAATCTTATTCAAAAATACCACTGTGCTGAATATTTACTCATAAAACCTCTCGAGAACGAATTCTTTGGAATAAGCCAAAACAAGACTGAGAAAATTTTGTGTTATTAAATAAAGCCAAAGAAGGTGACTTAGAATAGGAACTTTTTTTGAAAGAAAAACTCTAAGGCTAGTTCAAATGCCAAATTGAAAATTTATTTATTTTCCTTACTTTCAGAATATCTTGGGTTTCATTCCACTTGTTTGTCCACTCTTTGGTCAGTTCTTGCACCTATAAAAGAAAACAAATATTGGAAAAAAAATCACATCTCTTCTAAAGTCCTTGATAACGCATTGTCAGAGAAGTACTAAATATTTGTGCAATTCTTTGTGAAGTTTAATACTTAAACATTTAGAAGAGCACTATTGCTCCTGCAATAAGTGGCCATACCTACAATTTCTCTCTCTCAAAAAGGAAAATCACAAAATTCTTATTTATAGTATAAAATGAAACAAAGGACATGGATAGCCACTTCAAATAATGGCAGGCATTTTCAAAGAAAGGGAGTAATTCCATAAAGTGCTTCATCACTCCTACAAAGTTTACTGCCACAGATTGATCCCGTAGCTGTAAAAAGACGACAGCTCCTTTCCTACAGCGCAGGTAGGCATGTTCAGGCTGAAATACCCTCCAGAAATTGCAGAGGATGGCATGCAGGGGAAGAAGCAGACAGGCAGCCTTCAGGAGAGAATCAGAGCAAAGTTTACTGCAACTTAGAAATCACACACTTGGTTGAAATCCGCACAGAAGTGAGAAGCTGCTTGCAAAGACAGTACAGACAGGGAAAGCGTTGGGTATGAATGCTTAGGTTTTATCCTGCTTTTCCTACTCATCCTACTTTCGTCCATCTCGTAAGTTAACTTTCATAGCTCCCATACCAGTAAAGGCTCTTGTCATTTCAAAAGTCTTTCAGACTTTTTCGAAAACAGAGCATAGAGGTGCTTCAGGCAGACCTACCTCAAAGCTCTGGCTGACTTGGAACCATGATCACCTTAACTAGAATATAGAGAGACACTTCCATTTTTTAAATCACCTGACTTCTGTGCAGGAATTAAATACATAGACTTTTAAAAACATACACAATCATTTATTATTTGAATTTACTTCAACTGCAGAAAGCAAAAAAAAAAACCACACCCAAACACCACACCACACACAAAAAAACCCAAAACCAACCAGCTATGTCCCTTTATTACTTGACATATAAAACCACTGTAGAGAAGAAAAAAAAAAAAAGGTCATCAGTGCAGTTCCTCCAAATATCTCCACATTTGCTACCTGCAGCCTACTATCTTAGCTGTCTTTGCAGATCAGCTGCAAATTGATCAATGGGAACTAAAGAAGCTTCTCTCATCTTTACCTGTATCTCAAGATTTCAACTGAGAAAAGCAAATACATCTTTCAGTGCATCATATCAGGCCTAGTGCTGCTAATCAGATTGTTAAAACAAAAAATAATTGAAAAGATTAAAGAAAAACATGAAGGAGGTCCATCACAAGTCTATTCACCGTACCAGAACAATTTCTATTCCTCAGAAGTCATTTAAATGTTGTTCTTATACAAGGACAAATCCACTTATTAAAGAAAGCTACCATATATTTTTCAGATAATTTAAATATGGTGATAAAGTCTTTAGATCTGTATAAACAAATTAATTATTGCACTCATTCAATTATTAAAAAGCTATAACCACTGCAATATCTACTAAGAATTTTCACTAATTATGTCTATTGTAATTATCATGAATAGTAATCACATAATCTTCTAATGAGGCTGACAAAAGATAATAAAATATGCTCGATATACTCTCCACACAGGAGGGGCCAACACTTCTGAGCAGGACAAGCGGTGATTACTGTCAGAGCATGAATAACATACTCTAATTAGCATAGAGTCAGCAGTTTATCTTACTCTGCTACTTTTAGATTAAAGCTTTATGTTTGTGCACAAAAATAAAAGCATACTACACGTACTAACAATATTATCATTCATCTCTGATTCAGCTAAAAAATCTTTAAAACGTAGTATGAATATGAAAAAAAATAATTTGCAACTGAAGGCCCATGGTACAGTTACATAGGTCCTACTTTAATTATTGAATACAACACAGTAAGATTCCTGCATATTATACAGAGTTGTAAAATGTGTTCCTAGCAGAAACTTGGCTTATGGAGAAGCCTGGAGTCTACTTTGCAGCTATGGTTCATACTAATACAAATATTTCACCATTTTTGTCCTGAAGTTTATTTTTGAAGTATCATTTCACTGAAAAGTATTTCAACATGTCTTTAAAATTGGTATTACCAATGGGAATCCTGAAAAGCGCAGACAGATTCCGTACCAATTACTTATGTCAAAACAGGATTCTCAAAGCAATGCATTCATTCTCTAATTGTAAAGGTCTAAGCAGCACCACTGTAAACCTTACAATTTAAACCAGCTAAGAAGCCCCTATTTTTTAAAAGCATCACATCTACATTTGATTGGCATCTTGTCAACGATATTCAGAACTAAATATGTGCTGCCATGTAGCTGGATGATTCCAAACACTTTCCTCTCTGTTTTTCCAAAGTCTGAGTGATACTAATGTTATAAAACAGTTTGCAGTAGCTTTAAAAACAGGCAAGTATATAGAAAAGAACTAACATAGAATGACAGAATAAAGAATGAAAGATTGCAAATTAGAGAAATGAGAGTACCATTATATGTAAATTCCTTTGGACCCTATGAGTAAGTCTAAACTGTCTGGGAATTTTTCCCAGCCCCTACATTGGGTTGCATTACTAAAACAACTTGGTGTGAGGCATACTACGAAGTACACCTCGATCTTAGACGCTCCCCCAAAAAGACAGCTAATTAGGCACAGAACATATTTGTACGTATCAGAATTAAAGACTGAAATTTTCTGAAAACCTACCCTACAAGTTATTGATTACTTGAAAACATCGAAGAGTTGACCATTTTCCCCCATAAATCTTTTACTGTATTTTCTACACACTGAATGCTTTGTTATTGTGATTACTGGTTACTGATTACTCTGATTTAGTGGCTTTTCCCCTCTCTATTCTATCTACAAACACACTTTTTTAGTAAGACAAGCTGGCCTGCGAACAAATATTTTCATTAAATAGAACTGTCATATAAATATCAAAGATACACTTTGTTCTTAGTTATAATGTTACCCTACACTAGTAGGTTAACAAAATTACAAGTTCACACACAGGTTTTGTTTTGTTTTTTTCTAAAAAGTACCAAGACAATGCTGTTTGGAGGGAGAAAATTTAGTTGTGTATCAAAAAAATCCTGAAAATTACTGACACTCTTGTATCCAGACACCCCTCCTTTCCTTTTTTTTTTTTGTTTAGAAACTGTTTTATGAAATTATAACTCACCCTTGCTTCGTTCTGCTGAAGCTTTTCTTCCATACTTAAAGCTGTTGGAGAATCCAAGAGCGCGATCTAAAATTGTAAAAAGTTAACATCGTCAAGTTAAAAAAAAAAAGGAAGGAAAAAAGTAACAATTTCTGGCAGAATCAAATGACAGAAATGCAATTGTTCAGTTTTTTTGATTATTTAGGATGAAGTATTTTAAACTCTAATATATATCATTTTACCTTGAAATATTGTAAACGGAGTAATCAAAATCTTGTCAAAGCAGATAGTTCAAATACAAATCATCGGTTTGAGAGTACTATTTTCATTCACTGTGTATACACACGGTCACACATGCAGACGCTGAAACTGGACGCAAGTTTGTAACGGGTAATTCCCGATACATCTATCTTTCTATTTCTGTTAAACGTGAAAATTTATTATGCATCAATAGTTAACCATTTTGCTATAATACATATGTATATTGCTTATCTTTAATCAATACATATTATGGTAACTGGCCTTAGAAAAGGAAAACTATTACACGACACGCACACGCACAAGCAATACTCCTTGTTATGTGACCTTCTACACTGAATCCAGCACTATATTTTGGTAACCAGTATCTTTGGTGATCTACAGAAGCATTTGCAATACAGTATTCCGGGAATATAAAGGAAAACCACAAAACAAATTATACAGAGATTTATATTCTACTGTGCATACATAACACCACCTGCTGTTTTATCAACCATCACAAATTCAATTAACTTAAGCAAGTTCTCTATTGTCTCCCACACAGCCATCTATCACATCCTACAACTGAACCAGCTTTATTTTGTGATATCCACCGTTTTACAGCTTGGAACTAGGTCAAAGCATTAGATCTTCAAAGGGGTCCAAGTTACATCTACTTTGCTAACTCTAAATCAAACCCTATTTCAAAAATAAATTAACTTTCCCCTCCTAAAGAATACGGGAGAAACACAAGTATAATAGAGTAATTCAACCCCATAAAGAATTTTCTAATTGTTTGTAACAAAGCAGAGCTCTCCGCTTCAGTCATCTACAATACCTGTTACTGCTTCCAACTGTGGTCCCATCCCCTTTGTCAGCGAATGTTTCATAGCATGAAATCTAGCTGAAGTACTAGCCTTCCGTTAAAAAAAGTCTATGCCGAACTGGCATTTCACATTTAGATGGCACAGCCCATCTAAAATAAAATTAGATAGTTCTAGAAATAAATCTGAAGTATCATTTCAGATACTTCCAAATCGTATTTGCTCAAGTGTGAAATCTAGAAGTCCCGAGTGACATTATTTAGAAGAGATGACTGGCCTGAGCCAATTGCATATTCCTTATTGTTATCTTGGTTTCACCATCCTGGAAACAGAGGAAATTAAGCCTAACTGAGCTTGTGCAGCAAATGTTTATAGCGGCTGATATAGACAGAAGAAAGAGAATCATGCAAAAGGGAAGTATAGCGTGACACATGTTTTCTTACACCACCACTGAAAATACTTTTACATATTCAGCATATTACATCTTTCTAAGGTACTGTGCAGCCAAACACAAATAAAATGTATTGTTCAAACCCATCCATACTCCCACATTTTTATATTTATGCATCCTAAGATACTTTATACCTTCTGCTTCTTTTAAGATACTAGATAAAGTACCTCTTCAGTCCATCAGTCTAGACCCAGGAAATATGTTACTGTTCAGTCTCCTTACGCTGTGGTGACTACCTGTTCCACAGCCCACTGCAATTAAGCTCTGGTTATATTAAGAGAAAGCTAAAAGCTTTGGGATCACAATTTTTCCCCCCTTACGTTAAAAGAAGTAATCTGTTGGCCATATGGAAACTGATTCAATCAGGAAAATAATATTCATTCATAGCCTCATAGAGCTTGTTTACTCAAATCAATATAATGAAAGATAATTATCTCATTACATTCTAGAAATAGATGTTATAACTCAAGCAAAATTACACATAAATTTTAAGTAAAGCTAACCTGATTCCCTTGAGCAAGCAGGGCTTTTAACCGGGCTATTTCAGCTCTCAGCTCACGGATCAGTTTGACGTTAGGATCCTCATTAATAGTAGGCTTGTTGATGATGTTTTTGGCTCTATTTGCATAGCGAAGTGTACTTAAAGTTTCTCCATAATTGACATCAGCAGGTGAAATAGCTAAGGAGATGAAATCAGAAACAGTTTATCCAGCACCGTATGTTTCATTTAGTAAAGTTAGTTTATATTTTAAAAGTCAGATAAACTTCATGTGGATGAAGAGACAGAAATACACGATTAACCAGTATGGCTACAATTTGTTCCAATTCTTCACCTAGCTCCACTGCTTTCATGTCACTGTAACTTTGCTTAAGTAAACACTGTATTAGAAGAGTGTATTAGAATAATCAGGTCCAACAATCAAGCGTTGTAAAGAAATCTTGCTGTCAATCTACTCAACATTTACATTTCTCTGATAAGCATAAATGTCCTATATGAATACTTTACAGGCTTTCTTGTAAACTTTTTTTACAAGAACAGTAGGAAAAAGGGTGAGTATTTTATAAGTATTAACGTAATCATTGAATGGAAAAGTCATTGCAGGTAAAAACACAGTAGGTTCAGTCCAAGTTTTGAAGGGAAATTATACAGCGTTCAAACAAAAAGCAGACATGAAAACCAAAACAAGAGAAGAGCTTCTATAATTTACAAACCTAGCTGTTCTGCTGAGCTGCAGGCATCTGGCAGCGCGCAGAACTGTTACGTATCTGATGCATCAAGAGAAACCAGTATTATTTTTACAGGCAACTTAACCAGGAAAAACAATGGAGTTAAAATGAAAGTGCTAATGCCTTCCTTCACTTAATTTTCCTAACAATATACAAGATGTTCCCAATTAAAAAGATAATTACTGCATCCAAATTGATAAGCAAAAACACAGAAGAGAACACCATACAGAAACGATGCGGGACCAGAAATCTTAATTATCAAACCGAACAAGAGACCCAGAGAATCAGACAATGAAAACACCTGAAAAAACAATCAAGTAACCAAAATATTCTGCCCTTCCTCATCCTCTCAACAGTAATAAAGATTCTTTTTGTGGTAGAGACTCCCTGAATTAGGGGAGATGCGTTTGGCAACAGACTATACCTCCCCTACTATACACTATCACTTCCCTGCTTTATCTACTGTCTCCTCTCCACTACTCAATTATTCTCTTTCTGGAAGGATGTTATAATATGTTATAGAAATACGACAAATCATAATTGGATGTATTTTTATAAGAGCCTTTCCTACAGTTTGAGATTATCTTCCTGCTTTTTTTGTGTTTAGTTACAGAAAAGGCAGGCCAAACGTATCTGGACAGCTTGTCAGGCTCTATTAGGCAATTCAGTCACATTACCAGTAGAGTTACTGTTGAAGAAAAGATCAACCATCAGGGCTCTGCCTAGCAGAAGCATCGTTAATAAATGAGGAAGTAGCTGAAAAAGCAGCTGGGCACTGTAATCATTAGTATAGGCACTGAAAGCTCACTGTGTTTCTAAAACTTCTCTTCCCAATTCCCTCTGTCAAAAAAAAAAAAACCCAAAAAACCAAAAAAACACACCACCAAAAAAAAAACAACCCACCAAGTTACATGTAACTGAAAGAAAGCATCAAGAAGAAAGATGCCAGCACAGTGTTACTTAAACAGACAGAAAAACAAAGCAGAGTCTGGTCCAAGATCTTCTTTTGGTACTACTATGATCAGCCTGAGGAAAGAAAGTGGCATGGGTTCCAAAAACATTCCCAAAATCATGTAACAAAGGAACTGCCATCCAGAGAATTTGACTGTAACAAAGCGATTGAAGAACCAGAATTTGATCCAATGCATTTTATTCCCTCGATTCTGCTCTCCCACCATTCCCAAGAGACGACAGCATCAGTTAGACTGCATTTCATTTGAGCACAAAAGAGTGAGAGAAATTTCAGAGCTGCTCTTCTCTTCAAACCTTACATTCCCAACATTCAAAACATTCCCCTCCCCTTAAACATCCTCCCGGCTTCACTTGGGGTTTTTTGGGAATGGAATTCCCATTCCAACTTGTTGAAAAACCTGCAATACATACGCCATAGGTAGGTTTTTAAACCGAGCGATCCTTACAGAGTTTCCTACAGGTAAAAAGGAAACTTGCAGAAGTTTACAAGATGACTGATCATAAATAATTAAATTTAGACAAAGAGTTAAAACTCTGTGTGCATTAAAAAAGTAGGTTAAATAAAAATGATAGTCTTACCCACTGAATGTCAAAAGAGGTTGTTTCTGCTAATGCAACAAAAACCAACACAGTTTTGGAAAAGCAAACCAATTCACACGTCAGTATTGACTAGATGCACAAAACTGGAATCTTATTTTTTTACTGGGGATCAAAGTCTGCAACCTGAGCAGGAGAGGCATAAGGGGAGAGAAGTACAAGACTTTATCTAGGTCCAGGTTTGAGCACTTACCATGAGTAACAGAGCTGTCTGGAATGCAAATGCACCTCAAGAATAAACAGGAACTATTACTTGAAGTTTAACTGGTGAGATGAGCTAATCATTACACTGTGCGTGTGTCAAAGAAACACAGCAGTGAGGTAGATGTCAGAGCAAATGCAAGCAATCAGGCACATACATTTGGATGATCCTTACTTATGCAAACAAATGTCTAACGACTGTACATACACGATCTGGATGCCTTGTTACATATGTGACCAAATACTCAGCCAAGGATATACGCACCCAAACAAATAAGCTGCAGATGAAAACGAAGTTCTCAAATTCGGGAGGCATACCTGCTATTGTTCATGACAATACTGAACAACTAAACTTGTCCCCATATACACAATGAGACCCTATATAGTTCTACTGCTGGAAGAGACGTTCTGCAGGGTGTAGGTAAAGGCAAAGTGTTACTACAAAACTCAGCAAGAAAGAAATCGTTTATATGTGTACACAACATTCTGCCTTAACAAAGCATCTGGAATCTATTTACAGCCGCTCCTATTAAGCATGAAGTGTTCAGGATGCAAAAAAGTAATTTAAAAACACTTACTGGCAATCATTATAGTTTTAGAGTTTCCTCCTAGGCTATCTTTTAACAGCCAAGTCAACACGGAGTCCCTGTAAGGCACAAATACTTGTTTCTTCTTTGAAAGAGGATTTGTTGCATCCTGAGATAAATCAGCTGTGATGTGGAGGTAGGAGGAAAAAAAAAAACAAAAACAAACAAACAACAATTATGTATTTTCATTCATTTTCAAAAACAGTATGCGTTAGGCCACTATTTCTGTAAGTAAAAATTAACAGAAGTGTATGTAAAAAAATAGAAAGAAAAAAAAAACCAACCTTAAAACAGACAAGCACAAAAAACAGAGGCTTACCTAAGGCAGAAATTACATTTCCCAGAGTAACTAGAGATTTGTTAATATTCCCTCCTTCCTTTAATCTAACCCCTGTGGCACCGGTGGCATCTGCTCTCTCACTTCCAGCAAGATCTACCAAATGAATCTTGCTAACAGTTTCACAAGGCATTTCAGAATCAAATTTAGCCTACAGGAAAAAAAACAATACAAAGAAAAGTACGTTAAGCTACGAAATTCTGAAATTTTACTGAATCCAACTTAGTGGCCTTTTTCATTTCATGATTAAATTTAACTTGTTTACAATAGCAGAGCTTCAGAAGACAGGTGTATTAGAGGTGCCACAGAAAGGCATTTGGTCATGAATTGCCACATAGCTCCCATGCAAGTAGTTACGTCTTTAAATTGTGGTATTTGCAACTTTCCGGCCACTTATGCACATGCACTGACAACTGTGAATTGGTATTTACATGATGCACAGTGAACATGTGCTGCGTTCATTTTATTAAGCTTTCAACATTTATATTATATTTGTATTTAGCTTTCAACAAGTTATAGCATACACAGACACACTTATACTCAATTTGTCCCCCTGCCTCCAAGTTCAAGTAAGTAGCAATTGCAATTTTATTCTATGATTTTAACTGAGGCTTCCTCCCAATTTTTATCTTAATTCATATAAATCAACTCGGATTGCCCTGTTTCAAACTTCCTTCTACTTTGACAGTACAACAGTAAAACAAAACTCTTTGTTGCCTGCACCTTATCCTCTTCTGAAAGCTTTGCAATGAGTAATTCATCATTAGTGAACACCTGGTGCATGGGATTTTGCGTGTGTGGGGGTTTTGGGGGGAAGACATGCAAAGTTCTGTCAGGAGAGCAAACCACCTCTATGCTACCTTCTCTTCATCTAGCAGGTTATCTGTGGACTGTCTAAAAAGCCCCCCCAAAAACAATGATGAAGAGCAAGAGTCATTAGAAAAGGAGTTTACCACCTATAAACAAAAAGATCACTAGGCTCTGAGAAAACGTGTTATATCTCTCTATTATTCCATCAGTAAATCAAGGAATATAAATAGGTTTCCAATAGTAACATGAAGAGTCAGCAAGAAAACACTCAGAAAACATTTCTACACTCTACGATTTGGGCCATGGAGACAGGTTATTTTCCATAAACCTTGGATAACATCAGAGCGTAAAAGGTAGCCCATGTTCAGCTCTGGCTGACGTCTCACACAACATGCTCCTCACCCACTCCTCCTGTCACAGCACCATCGTGAAACACACTGGCACTGGTCACTGTTATTCAGCCTGAACTCCCAATAACTATCTCCTCAAAATGTATTAAATATCATTTTAAGTAATCCCATTACACTGTAATTTTCAAGATTATAATATGATAAACATATTTATAATTCTCAAGAGTATTTCACACTTTTAACTTTCCCTAATACAAGACAACAACATAGCCATTATCTACCCATACTTGCTTTTTGACAACCTTATTTTTTAATTATCATATGAACCATTGAATGTAAACACATATTAAGACAGGGGGTTTTGTTTTGTTACCTGAGTGAAGTTGATGGTGAAAATGGCATGCGACCTGCTACTGACATCATTCATTCCAGTTGCAGCCGTCGTTCTATTTATATTTCCTGCGTCCATAAGTTCCTCCACATCAGTATAATTTTGGACTAAATGTTTAGATAAATCTAAAGAAAAGCAGAGTGTTACAGCATGCTCATACGTGAACTTGATTTTCTTTACAAAAAGATCCAAACTACCCTCACCACTGCAAAATATTGCTGCAATTAGTGTTTATTGTCATACTTGTTTATCACTTGAGGAAAGGGATGAGGCCTCATGTGAACAATGGAGAACTGACACATTTACAGTAAATTAAGAAAAAAATACGCAATCTTACTAAGTGCTTAGTGCACTAACATAAGCATAATCCCTCAGGAGACATGAACCTTCCCTGGTAGAGGACAGATTAGGACAGTTAGATCCTAACAGGTTCTTTCTATCTAAACATTAAAGTTTTATAAGTTATAGTCAACAAATTCTTAAAACCAACTGCATCTCTCAACATTATTTAAAAATGTGTTATAAATTTAAAGATAAAAAGTGTGTATGTGTAATAATCTTGGGAAAGCGAGTGGGGATACAAAATGAGAAGCTATTCTCCTTTCATGCTTTTATATCAAAGGAAAGCACTGTATCCATCATCATTTATATTTTAAAAGATAAAAATGCCCCATGCAATTAGACATGGCATTTTAAAATATATAAAGGTAATAAAAGATCCAGTGCAAAACACTGAAAGCGTTTTTACCTTCAACATATGGCCCTTCTTTTGGATGTTCTCGTATTCGTAAATTATTAGTTTTTGATGACTTCCGTCTGAGAAGATCTCTCACACGTTCATTATAAATTTCCAGATAACTGAAAGAGAAAGATTAAAAAACCACTGACTGATTCAAGAGTCTTTAAAAAAAGGAAAGCCATGTTAACACTGTGTTTGAAAGCAAGATACCTGAAGAAGCAAATGGATCCAAAGCTGGCTTAAGATATTAATGACTACAGTGTACTTCTATCATAAGGAAAAAAGCCAAAAAAGCAAGAAGTAGAAAGGAAGCAGACATTAGCAAGATCAAAATCTCCTAATGCCAGCCTGAAATAAAGGTTCAAAATAAGGAAGGTGCTGTCTAGTAGCAAAGGCATTTTCATTATCATTTAAATAAAGCAAAATGCACAGCTGTTGGATTGAAGTTAGAAGTATTGCGCATTTTGACTACGACTGCCAACAAAAATCAATTATAGGACTGAGGCCAAGCATGGAAGGTTATCTGAAAAACACACACTTTTCTCAGAGATAATAAGTGAAACAGGGTGGTTGTAACTGAAACAAGTTTGATAACCAGCAAACTATTAACACACCAAGACTGACCTGACTTCTGTTCGAAAGGATGCCTCATTCCGCTTTGTTTTTTCACTTATTTTGCTGAATAATCCTTCACAAATTCGAGGTATTAAACCTACATCACCCTGCAATAACAACAATTGTTATTTCCAAGACTATATATGCATGAGCAATATATTTTGAAAAATAAAACCCAAGATCACTAGTTAAGAGTTCCAAATTCCAGAAAAGGGGAAAAGTGAAAACTTGTCAGCAAATACTCTCTTGCCCTTTATTCACCTGCAGTCGTCTTACCACGTTAATCCTCGTGTGTGTGTTGGAACGTACATATTAGCTGCAATTCTTTGCTATTGGGATACATTTGACCCCTCTCACTTAGTTCAAAGAACCCCAAAGCAGAAACTGGCTCCCCAGAGCAACATATGAACTGCCTTATCTGAATACTCTCTTTTCTAACTTCTCCTTCTACCCCATTTCACTATAGACTTGGCAACATCTGCAGAGAATGCGACAAGAGCCGTATACATGCATCCATGAGCCATTCTCATTCAAACCCCCAATCCCCAGCTCACAGTCCTTCCTGTCTTGAGACGTGCAGAAGGTCCTCTGCATAAATTAGCATGCAATAACAAAATGAAAACTACATTCACTGTATCCCACAATGCAGCCAAATTAAATTTGATACTTAACTTCTGAATGCTCAACTCTGCAGTTAAAGAGTTTTTATGCATAAAGTGCTTGGTCGGTTTAATAAAGCAAACTGAAAAAACATATTTCTTCTCACAGATCCCTACAGACTACGTGGTTTACTAGCAGGGCTGCAACTATCCGCTACAGGGTCCTTGCCACTTCAGCTAACACAGCAGCCAGCAGCAGCAGGATGTCATCTTCTCGGTTAAGCTGGCACTTGAGAATTGAGCCTCATCCCAGTAAGGCTGCTGCTCCACCACTGATGTCAAACATGTCAGACTGTGAGGCAGCAGCTAACACCGCTGAGATTTCCAGAGACTTAGCATGCAGCTCTCCTCTTCCCGTTGCTCCAGGGAGACTCCCTTCCAGCCAAGCAGCGAGGCAGTAAGTCGAAGCCAGGGTTTTCCCCAGCAGCAGAGAGGAGCAAGAGAGCGCCATGCAGCTCTGGTCTCAGCTGACGAGGGGCTGCTTGCTCCCAGCTGCCCCATTCCCACTGAGTCTGACTAGGTAGACGACCAACTACCTGCTGAGCACACCTCCTCCCCACCGCTTCAGGAAGACAGCAGCTAACACCCCTTCAGAGCTGAAATAAGTGAACATGGCTCCCAGGAATAAAGGGAGAGGACATATACATACAGATGAGCTTTGGGCTCAGAGCTGCAAACTCAGAAGTAGCTTACAAAACAGTCTGTCAGCTACAATTTGCCTCCAGTCCAAAAATGCATAAGAAATTTGATGCGATGGACTAATTCTAATTCTGTGCACCACTGAGGCAAGAAGTGTTCTTGCTCAGAGTTAGGGGCCTTGCAATTAAGCACGAGGCAACTTAGGACAAACCAGACCGAACATCCAATGTGAGCATAGCCCAGGCACTCCAGGCACCCAAGCGAGTTTGCCTGGTGGGATTCTACAGATAGCTGGCAGCAGGAAAACACGAAGACAGTGGACCACTCTGCACCAGACTCTGGCAGGGCGAGTGCTCCACGGGCAAAGATTTCTCTTCTACTTGGACCCGCACGTCCAACCCCGTTCCAGTCTGCTCCTGTGCTGGTCCCCTCTGTCCTCATTCTTCAGCTTCCCGCTGCATTCTCTGTCCCACCAATCTTCTCCCAGGTGCCAACTCCGAGCTCCTCTTCGCATTTCCTTTGCCCAGATATAATTCCTGATTCATCATCCAGTCTCTTTTTTTATTCATATTCTATCCCTCTATTTTGCCCTTTTCCAGCATCTTCCTCCTCTTAATCAGAGCCTCTCTGTCCTTCTCAAACGAGGCTTCCTTCTTTGAAATAATAATCTATTCTCTCCTTCTATCATACCTAGTCCTTCACCTGATTGCACCTTGGTTAAAAAAAAAAAACCACCACCCTAGATAAAGGGAGAAACTTGCAGCTTAATCAGGCTTTTTGAGACAGTTGCCTTTGGTAACAGAGGAGCAGCCTTTCCCAATATGTATCAATCTCTACTCCAGATAAAGTTTCAGGGTTCAGCGCTGGAATTTCCCCCATGCTTTTTTTTTTTTAAACACAGGAAGAGGAAAAAGTAAGAAATTTCTTTCATCTCATGCTTGGAAACACCTGAACAGTTTTAATTAAAGCTTCAGGAAAAAACATGAAAGATCCATCACAAAGTTTTAGGCAAATCATTAGTGTCTGACATAATTTAGCAACTGCAAAGAGAGTCTTAAAATAGGAAATAATAGCTTTAATTGAGTAACTTCAACCATAGCAATAGAGTGATGAGAAAGGAAGAACACACAGTTGCCAGCATATTTCATGAGTAAAATATACATCTTACAGAATGTACACTCTTTATTAGAAACTATATTTAAACATTTCCTCCCTTTTCACTCCATACAGCTCCAGGGCAGGATCAGCTACATCTTTGACAGTTTCCAGTCACGGAAATCTGTTGAACCAAAATAGGTGGTTCACTCCAGAGCTGAATTTTCTCATTAAAAGCCCGTTTTCCTTCTGTGCTATTTAACCAGAAAACTCCTTATTGCAATTCAAATGTACTGTTCCTTACCTATCTACCTTGGGCACAGGGAACAAATTATTCCCTTCCTTTCTGCAGCAGCCTTTCACGTCTTGGAAGACTTTTGTTCCTCCACAGTCTTCCTTTCTCTGTGTAAGCAAGTCTGACTTTCCTGATAGATCATATTTTATAGATCTCTGATCATTTCAGTATCTCTGCTCAAGACTTATTCTAACTTGAAATCATTTCTTTCTTGAAATGATTGTTGCGCACAGTATTGCAGAAGAAGCCTTCCAGAGCCAAGAACAGCAGATATTGAAAGCAAAATGAAAATAGAATTCATACTTTCTAAGGAAAAGTAGGGGGAAAAAAAAAAATTATTTCCAATTCAAGTTTTCTTATAGCATTGTAGTCTCTGTGACAGGGCCATCAATTTTCAAGCATTGAACTTGGCGGTTGAGTATATTTTACACAGGCTCTGTACAAAGCCAGATTAAAGTATTTATGTATCATGGCAAGAAGATTAGACCTTTATTATTGAATAGTGTCAAACAAACTTCAGCACCTATTCATTTGCAAAATGTCTTGATGATTACGGTCATTACGTATAGTGAGGCAGTCTCATAAAAATGTCACTTTTATAAATTTCTGAAATAGAAATCCACATCTAGGTCATAAGATCTTTTCTGGTTACAAAAGTCTGTTCTGCTTACCATTTTGAAGTTAAATATAAAGCTACTTAGTCTGTGACAACTGAAAGAAAAAGATTTACAGCTAATTTACTCTCTTAAGCTTAAGGGGGTGCAAAGTGGCCAATCTTACTACATTTCAAATGAGTGATCTATCTAAGGAAGGACAAGTGGCAATACTCCCCTTTTCAATTCTGCTGGGAGAAGACATGCTGTATTTTTTTCCCAAGAATTAAAGGAGAATGAAACCTGTAGAGGTTGCCTTGCAAACAGGCTTCCTCAGTCGGCCCTTTCAAACTGCTCCACTCCCAACAGTTTAGTGGGTTCTTTCTGTCCTTGTGCAGTCACGGAAGCAACTGCAAGAAACTTCACTCACAAACTGCCAAATGCCCCTCCTACCATACCTTCCTCTTCCAGGGTCTTCGCTGCAGTTCTCAACAGGACTTAACCCTTAAAATTAAAGTTACTGTAGCATCTCATAATGGTTTGCTGAAACTTACATTTAGCAACTCTCATCCCCAGTTTCTACTCTTCACTTGATAGCCTTGTCTAAACAGGGGCCAAGGAGCTATCTTCTGACCTTTCTAAAGAGGTCTAAAAAACAGATCTCTTCAGAAAGAGCCGATCATTCCTGTTCTCAAAATCAGTATCTTGTTTTTTGTCTCGAGTTGGGCATAGAAAATCAGCGGTAACATTTGAAATGTTTGGCTTTGTTACTGAACAAAAATTATTGCTTCTTGTCCAGCACAAGAGAGTATCACTTAAAGACACTTCTTCCAACTGTAAATATCTCTCTATAAAAGAAACAGCTTCTAAAACCTCTGATTACTACTAGAAGGTATGGTACATGGGGGGTCAGTAGCATACAGACAGGATCAGCAATAATAATTCCACAAAAACACGCTCTTACAATAGCATAATTTCAATGCTTTGCTACAGAATAAAAATGCACATTTGCAAAATCAACATACCGCATTTCCCATCATGGTGTAGGACTTCCCAGATCCAGTCTGTCCATATGCAAAAACACAAGCGTTGTAACCTTCAAAGGCAGATTTAAGCACATCTGTACCAAGATTTTTGAAAACCTAAAACCAAAGAAAGTTTTTTAAGACAACGGAAGCTTGGGGATAAAAGTTGTCATCAGTCCAGCATGGCAAATATTAAACAATAAACTACCACCATATAAGCTATTGGCATCAACCAATGATATTTACTATAGGACAGGAAATCAGTTCTTCAAATAAATTACTAAATTCTACTACCGTATTTAGTTTACAGCACTGCAACAGTGTATTTTCTATTTCTTTTTCTGTCAGAGATCTACTTGACATGCAGAAGTATAAAAAACCACTCCCTTCTTTCTATAGCTCCAATTTCTTTCAGCTCATCTCAGATACTTCATTCACTTTTCCTTATTGTTAATATCTATTCACTTTTTATATCTTTGCCAACTCTCCATGTTTTGCAAATATCCAGCCCCTTCTCAAAAGGAAATGTTTCAGTGATCCTGTCACTTTCTTGGTTTGTGTTTTTGGAGGATTTTGGTTGGTTGGTTTTGGTTTTTTGCTTCAACCAAGTGTAAGAAAATGGACTATTATTTTCTCCCTATTTCCTCCCTAACTAGCTTTTACATACCAATACTTTCTAGGCTGGCAAACATGGAAACATGTTTTCTATGTGGTAAGTGACCCCCTTTCCTCAGCTAGCCCCATCTCTTTTGTCCTCAAAGTTTACCTCTGAAACTGGTAATGATCCCTCCTCCACATCCCATAATATAGAGGTCTATTCTCACCTAATGAGTTCAGCTCTCAGCAGATGCCTTCATCACCTTCTTCTGCAGTACTACCTCCAGTATCCCTCCCAGATTTCTGACCTTTCATTATCACTACCCCTCATTTCCACCCATACCGCGCCACTAGCCCACTGATGCAGCTTCTCTCTCAATGAAACTATTAATCTGGGTCTCCCAATCCAAACATGATTTTCAAAAATCTCATAGATGCTTCATGTAATTTGGCTACTAGTCTGTGGTTCATGTGATTTAAATTAACCAAAGACTCCAAGTCATTATTAATAGCGAATGGCACATACAGACTATAATCATGCCACTGCTACAAGGGAGGAGTGCTGGGTAATTTCTTTAATCGTTAATGCTCAGTTGCAAGCATGCCTTTGGAATACTTAACTTGACCTCCCCTTGAGCAAAGGAGTTACAATGCTGTAATCTGTTACACTTCTCAAAGAGGAAGAGTATAAAGATCAGCCAAAGCACAATTTCCCTTTTGCTTGTCATTTGAAAAGGAGCATCTTAGCTGAATTCTCCCTCCTGAGTAACTGCTCCTTTATTTTTTCCCCTCTTTTCCCTTTCCCTATGTCCAAGTTTTTACCTCACCATCTGGACCAAGTCTTTATGCACTATTGCTTTGACTGCATTTTCTCTTCTAAAAATTTGTGTATACTTTGCAAAGTGATTTGAGGTAGCACATAGAATAGATGGTTACAGTCAGTGTTGTCTGAACACAGAGGCTCAACACACAGGTTAGAAGACAAGACATCGTTAGGATGGGACTTTGTCAGAACCAAACGACTGGGACACCGGTTTGTCTCAAAAGGGCAGTAAATTCATCAAAATTCTATTTGTTTCTCTTCCATGTATACAAACTAAGTAGCTTCATGGTAAATTGCCACTCCCACTCTAGTTTTTGAATACTAAAGCGTATTTTGCATCTACAAGGCATATTAATGGTGCATGTAGTATTAGACAGACTTCCATTTATCATTTTTCTGCTTTTCAAAAGGAAAAATATAATAATCATGAACAAAGCGCACTAGGCAACCGCATTACCAACATCAAGATCAATTTTATTCCATGGCAAGATGAATATGAATGAAAGACGCCCTTTTTTTTATGCCACTGGTGCAGTAAACTGGAAATTCTGCAGCAACTCGATAAGAGCTTAACTACAAAGTCTTCCAATTAAATATGAAATGAATAACACAAGCAAAACAATAGCTTGTGCAGCATTTGTTTAGAAATTGCACTCCCATGGTTTGAAAACTCCTTTTGTTTTCAATGTGCTGCGCACATTGTAATTAAAACAACACGACACAGGGACAATACTATTTTTGTGGCTGAGCACGAGAAGTTAGCATTCTTGCCAGTAAGGATGAAGGAGGCAGCCTAGGGCTGTGGGACACACCGTAATAGCAGAATATTGAACGTGGACATCTAAGCCATGCTTAGGATTTATTGTTAGCATCCTATTACTAAGAACCACAAAGCTCACAGCTTTAACCAAAAAAAAAAAAAAAAAAAAAAAAAAAAATCATTGCTCAGGGCTGCTGCAGCAATCCCTATATGGGCATTTTAATTTTTTTTTCCCATAAGCTCCTGACACAGGTAAGTTATACTGATCTTGCCTCAACCTGACCTGCTCTGAAACAGAGGCAAAATGGCACCAATAAGGAAAAACTTAAAATAAGGAAAACTTAATTTATCACTTATATGTGGAAATTGGACATCAACACAGGATACAACTTGGATATCCATTTATATTAATTCAGGTTTCCTTTGCAAATGGCTATTTTAACAAGAATTAACTTCATTATTTCACAGCACATTCAGATTCTGGAAAAAAATTGCATTGCAACAGCCTAACAACACAATGGGCTCTCTTCCTGGGATTCTTCTAATGGGGTCTTGCCTAACATAGCTTTCCAGAAGTATGTAAAGTCAGGTAAAGAAACAGCTACCTAAAGGATGCAAAAATTAAACATCCATAAACCTAAGCCACAATCGGTGCTTAAGAAGAATTTCTAAATTTCATTTTAGAAATGAAAAAGTTCATTTTGCAGACTTTTCCAAATATGCATTGATACACCATTAATACCGTTTTATGGAGATGTACTCATCTGTATCAGGAAGAACTGAGAATACGGTAATCAGTTATCACTCAGAATTATATGCATTTTCATGAAACTAAGTAATATTAAACTAAGACCCTAATCGATTTGTATGAGCAAACCTAAGGCAATCATTTGTTGCGCCTGCAGAACCACAACCAAAAATCTCAAGCTTCCGTTAGAATCAGAACAGAAAAATACATAATCAAAGCTGCTTTAATTAAAATAAATAAATAACTCTCTGCATGCTCAACTTAAAGCATTTGCTAAAGTTCTAGTAAAGCCACATGGCCTGAAGCACCTGCTTAAAAACATTCACTAGAAACTAGGATTCCAATCATTGCGCTCAATACACTACTACTTGAATTTGCCACAGCACTGAAGTAATTAGGGTATTTCTACATTAATGTCCAAATAGATTTATACTTCTTGATATTTCAGAGAATATCGCCAAAACTGTGTTACTTAGAAGAACATCATGAAGAAATAACAATCCAGAAAGTTTAAGAATATACATGATCAAATGTTTGGATTAAACACTAACTATTACTTCAGTGAAATAAAGAAAGCAGCTTTCAGAAAAAAGAGGACCTACCGCTTACATTGATGGTTAAATAGAAATTTCAAATATAAATTCCCTATCAAACAATTACAGTCATTATATATAATGGCAAAACTCGTCCTTCTCATAAATATTTAACATTGGCTTCAACTTACTGTTTCTTAATATTAGTTTTAATTCTGAGGCTTTTTAGGATTAGCCATACCAATATCCCTGATTTTGGGGGTTACAGAAGAGATGAGGTACATACCAAAAAGGTAAGTATCCAACTGGCTTACAGGATATTCAGCAAACCCTTGCATTATTTTAAGGGGGAAGAAATAGTCTCACTTTGAGCTTACAGCATCCCAAGTTCCACAAAACCAAAAGAGATGATAGCAATTACAGAACACTTGAATTTTACTTAATAATTTTATTTGGGAATGTGAAATAGCAAAAAGGTTCAATGTTCACATGAAATGCGAGGTCAGGGAGGGTCTATCTGTTCATTTAAATAATGCCTATAGCTCTGAGTTTGATTTTCTGTTCTGAGTGCGCAGGAAGAAAAGCAGTTTTGTCCTTTCCTAAGCTGAATATTCAAGGGAGGAGAAAGAAGAATCTTCTTTAAAGTGTACCAAGACTTTTGGACAAAAGCAGCCCACTTCAGCCAGATAAGAAGAACGTTTCAGTCTAAGTGAATTAAAGATATATGTTTCTAAAGAGTGATTTTTTCAAAAAAGCTTTTCAAAAACAAATCTAGTGCTCAGAGAAGTTCTCTAACTTGACCTTACAAGACCAATCATACAAGAGAACTAGAAAGAAGCATTTAGCCTGCTCTATTAGAAAACACAGCACTTAATAACGTTAGATAAGTTAAAAGGAAACAAAACAAAATTCAAATTCTCAGGTACCTAGGGAATTTCTATATTACACAAGAAGCACTTTCAATGGAAAGAAGATTCAAAGAATGCTTTCATGTTAAAGAAAAGGGAAAGGGAAAAAAAAAAAAATCAATTATTAACATTCAGAAATCCTACCATTTCTTGACAAACAAAGCTGGGACTTTTACTGTCTGCTGAGAAATAGGAAAAATCGTAGGTAAATGTCTTAGTCCTTTCTCGTCCTGTGTCTCCAGTACCACCCTCTGGTACCTATTTTAAAAAAAAAACAAAAAAAAAAAAAACAAACACCAAACAATCCACCAGGTGGTACAATACATCCTCACGAAGTAATTAAAAACATTTTACAATAACTAATCAGAAAGCAAATTTAACATAAGGCTATACACATTTAGCAATTTATAATGACAGGTTAGCCTATTATTCCAACAGAAGTGAAAAAGTTAGCAACAGATACACTCTTCAGCAAGGACAGT